AAGTGTAGGATTCTGGGGGTTTTGGAATAGGATTTTCGTCACTGTGAGGCACAGGTCTCATCGCAGATGGTATGTTTGGGTAGTTAATAACCGATTTTTTTTTGGACATACCTGTGGCTTGTCCAACACAAGGTACCATGCAAAAGTAACAATCATTAATATGATTTGTAGGCTCTCTCCAAACCATTGGGACAGCAAAGCGCATAAACCGTTTTTTGCCATTTAACCAGCTCCTCAGACTTGAAGCACATGTATTACAGCAGATGTGGGGTGCCCACTGTTTGTCTTGATCACCTAGTTTACAACCGAAATAAAGCTGATATGCCTTTGTTATTAGTGGAGCAATAGACCGTCTCTGAGACGCAAAAGTCACATTACCACACACGTAACAAAACTGATCTGGATTGTTTACACACTTTCGAGACATCTTGCATGAACGCTGTCAGCCAACTGAGGAAAAAATGGCTAATATAAAACAATATAATGTACACGTATGTATAACGTAACACAATCATGCCGATTACATCATCTTTCCTTGCCGAATATAAAAATGTAGCACGTGCATTCTTGTGAATTACAGTATATTAACACTGTCACAGCAGGAACACATATAATTACCGTATCTCTAAAACTTGAACTAATATTGAAAAAATAAGTTTCATTCCGGTTTTAGCACATTAAAAATAGTAATATTTTGTTGATTTTTTTTATTTTCTTGAATTATTATTTATTAAAGCAGTGTTTCTTGAGGACCTATTTGCATTATCGGATTTAGACGGCTAGGTAGCACATTAATATCGTTACTGCCATCACACGTTTTTCACAGGTTCACTTGTGTGTATTTCAGAAGCGCGTGCATTATTCTCCCCCCCCCCCCTCACATGAACCCTGGGACCGCCGTTGCGTTCTTCTAGACGGATTCCTAACCCGCCACTGCGTATTTTCAAATACGTGTCAGTGTTTATCAAATAATTATTGTAATCATTTTCAATTAACTAGTGTAATGGAGTAATTATAACTACAATCACTAAAAACATAGTAAAAATAACTTTTGTTAACAATGCGATAAAACATAAACGATAAATGTTTAGATACTAAAAAATACGAGTAATAAGTGTTCGTCCTTCTAATCGGATACGGTTAAATACTTTTTAGCACCAAGGCGACTTCAACTAACAGCATATTAGGTAGTTCTAAAAATAGGGCAATTTGCTGATTACAGAGAAGATTTTTTCCTGCTGGTGATAATATCTAGAATAATGAAGGCTACTAGTGAACAGTGGTAACTTGGAAGCAGTGATCGAAGCGGCTTTTTTGGAAGTTCTATGGATATTTAATTTTGAAACATATTAGTAACATTTCTCAGATTTTCTGGGTTAAGGTCTTTCTTGAAAAAATATCGAGTTGAACCATATAGAGACTGATGAAGATCAGAATGAAGCTGGTGGAAAAGCAAATGAGTTGAATGTATCACATGAAGAAAAAGGATTTTGTGTAACAGACATTTTAAAGATAAAAGACGATACAAGAAAAACTTATAAAAGATCTATATTAAAAAATAGATAAACTGAATAAATAAATTGAGAATTTACAAGATCTGCAAATAACAGTAAATCTTATACAGACATGGTCAAAAGTTCTACACATGAAAACACCAACATTACTTCGCCATCTCAAAAAGAAACGGTAAAATATACTAAAAATATAAACACAACAACACAATCGGAAAATACAATTCTTATTAAACCTATTAATACAAATCGAAGTTGTACGGAAATAAAGAAGGAACTGAGCAGGTAAATAAATCCAGCAAAATGAATTTATCTATTAAAACAGTAAACGATCTGAAAAATTGAACACTGAAAATTGAGTGCAAGGATATTGATGATATGAAAAAGTTAAAATAGGAAATAGAAAAAAGTGTTGGACAGAATTATAATGTAAATGTAGACCAAAAAAAAAATTACCAATCATTGAAGTCGTGGGTTTGAGACTTAAACAATGAAAAATTGGTTAGAGTCTTAAAAGTGAGAAGCAACGTTATAAATAGTGATGCTTCGACTAAAGTAGTGGCAATCAAAAAAAAAGAAGAAATTTCGGTATATGGAAATTTTGGAATTGGATAGATCGACATTTGAAACAATAATGAAAGCAGGAGTTTTTTTTGTATCAATGGAATTTTTGAGCATCACGTTCTTCTGAGGCGTTTAACTTTGGCGGATTTCACCACACAACGAAAAATCGGACCAAGGCCTGTATTTGCTTAAAATGTGGTAACACACAACTGTGTGATAGTCCAAATCGAATATGAAGAATCAAAAGATAAAGTTTCTTATGGTGACAAATAGCAATTACAAGCCAAACAATACTCTAACAATAAATACCATATAAATATTCAAAGATTCTTATCGCACAGGGATGAAGTTATACATTTTTTAATATCAGTGAAACCATTAGTTCTTTGCTTGACTGAAACTCATATTACAGAAGATATTGAAGATGTGGAGACTGATATTCAAAATTATGATGTTGTAAGAGTAAACACAGTTTCGAAACATACAGGTGGCATACTAATATACAAACTGAGATAATATTGTAGTTGTTGATTCGTATCGATGGTGGTATATTAATTTCTGAAATCAAGATGAAAAAAAATACAATGTACACGTTTACTAAAGGTCTCCAAGCTGTAATATAAACCAATATTTGGACTTTTTTGAGAGTGTTTGTGAAAAACAGTATTATCGAAATTGATCCACTGTGCACTTGGGAGACTTCAATATAAATTTTGATAATCAAGATTTTTATGTAAAAAAATTTAAACAGGTGCTGAACTTTCATGGTCTATGGCAAACAGTTAATGACTACACAAGGATTACAAACTTATCACGAACTAAGATAGATTTAATAATAACCAATGAACAGAATTTGAGTTTTAAGGTTTTACATACTCCAAAAATGGATATGTTTCGAGGCGGAAAGTATGTTTAATGAGAGGGAATCAAGAGACATCACAGTTATTGACTTTGAAACGCTTTGAGAGTCACTCTTACAAGCCAATATCACTGAAATTTCTACTGACACTTACTTCTCAACAATTATGGATTGTATGGAGAACTGCATGAGAGATACAAATTAGCAAAGTGGTATATCAACAGAAAAAGCCAACACTCTGGTTTTCACAGATATTTCTAGACTCTAAATTGACGCATGATAATGACTATAAAAAGTTCAGACTGAGGAAGATTGGATACAATATAAGAAATCAAGAAACAGGTGTTTAACAAATCTTAGGAATGAAAAGAAAAAAATATTATGAAAACAAAATCGATAGCAATAAAAATAACAGTAGACGTGGAAGATGCTGAAAAAGAATGTGTTTCGAAGATGGTATAGTAACACAAAAAATATTGATTGCAGAACGAATGAACGCTTATTTTATAGAAAGTATAAACGAGATAGTGGAATCAATCGAAGATGGGGATCCAAAACTATGTCATATGCAAGTTACTTATAATTCTTCTATGCGTCAATTCCAAACAATAAATATCAGCCATCTTTCGAAAGCTATTTCAAGATTGAAGTGGAATAGAAATCCTACTGAACATCTTTCAAAAATGGTTCTGAAGGAATGCTTCAACATTATTGGAGAGATGTTATTAATGTTAGTGTATCACTGTTTAGTGTATGACGAATTTCCTTAGAAAATAAAATGCTCTACAATTACTCCTGTTCCAAAAGAGCAAAATTCTGAGTTATATACAAACATGCGGCCAATTAATGTACTGCCACATGTCGAGAAGCTCTTAGAAGGAATCAAATATGAACAAGTCGTTGCATATATTGAAGAAAACAAGATATTGGCCAAATTTCAGGCAGGATTGAGAAAAAAGTATTCTACTGAAACAGCATTTCAAATGGTAGTAGAAGAATGGAGGCGAAATATGTATGAAAAAAGTTTACAGGCATTTGAGACGATTGACAGGGAGAAATTGTTAACGAAATTACATTACTATGGATTTCAAGGTTCAGTATTCAACATATTACAAAATTATTTAATCAATAGAAGTCAAAGAACTAAAATTGGCAATACATTATCAAGCATCAAAAACATTTCGGTAGGTGTGCCACAAAGACATTGAAACTGCAATAGAGCTGTTGAATAATGATATGAAAAACGTAATAAATTGGTTAAATATGAATAAACTCAAATTAAACAAAAAAAAAACAAAATATCGCATAATAGGGAAATCTTTAGATCAAAATACGATAAATCTTACAATTAATCATGAAAAAATTGTGTTAATCGAATCATTTAAATATTTGGGCATATACTTATATAGTAAATCAAAATTTTAAGGGCGCTATGAATACATTATTTCAAAAATATCCAAGAAAATAAATTACTTCTATAGAATTTCGCATAGCCTAAGCGTTTATTCTAAAAAAATTGTCTATAATAGTATCATTCTTCCTCATTTGTTATACTGTTCGACTATTTTGTTCACTGCAAATGAAACTGTATTTTCAAAATTACAAATATTTCAAAATAAAGCTATGAGAATCATCTTAAATAAAAATAAATATACAATAGATTTTATACCGAAAGAAATACAATGGTTAAATATCAAAAGGGATTGTACGAATTTAATAAATTAAGTAATGATATCAAGATGTGTGTCAGTTTGAAAATGTTTAAGGGGAAATTGAAAAAATATCTATGGGAAACCCGAATTCATAGTGGTGAAATTTTGTATAAAAATATGTAGTTTTGAAGACATAATATATTATGTAATATACTGTGTAACATGGATATTATGGATATTGTAGCATTAATGCTAAATAAATCTGAAACGAACAAACTTTTTTCAGTTGTACTCCGGTGCATTAGCACCTTAATTGAACTCAAACAAAAAAACATTGAGAAGCTGGCGCAAAGTAGAAAAAGGACGTCCAGAATAAACTAATAATAAAATAAAAATAAAATTAACAAATAATACCTGAGAATACTGACTTATTTCCATTAGCAGTCTTGATTTCGTTTATGTAAGCGTAAATCAGATCCTCGTTTTTGCCATATACCCATGTGTTGTAATGCTCCTTGATAGTACCCACCATCAGGTTTTTCAAATCACAGTTTATTCGCTGTATCAAGTTGTATCCTGTCTTTTCTGGAGCTATGTACCTCAACCAGGGATGCTGACTTAGCGTTCCTCCTGACATGTCAAAGGCTCTAGTTCTTTCATGTAGTAGATCCAGAATCTTACCTAGAATCGAAAATTGTTTGAGTCGTAATCAAGACATCACTGGAGGCTTTGACTCACAAAAAATTATATTGTAAAGATGATTTCTCCTATGGAATTTTTAATTTCTAGATGACCCACTAGTACCAAGGCTGCTAGTTTTTTCTTTTTGCAAAATTAGCAGTATGACGTCCCTTGGGCGACTGATTAATGTGCACAAAATTGGACTTTATACATAAAGATAATTGCATTATTGTCAGGATAAAAAAGAATTTTCCTATAGATATTTATTTTTGCTTTGTGAATGTCGATTTGCGCAGAATTTGTGCTATTATCATAGTCATTTGAGGAACATCTTATCGAATTTTGACTTCATTTCAAAAATGCCCTGGTCAAACGAATACGTCATGAATATTCCCAGGAAACAATGTCGAGAAAGAGGTTGAATATTTCCAAACCTAGCGCGAATTTAAATATAATTCAATAAAAACTTATGTTTGTTGTATAATGTGAACTTTTCTATGATACCAGATGTCTAAACGGAAGTGGGCCATATTACCCCTCTTGGAAAATAGGTTAACTATGCACATGTATACTAATAAAGAATGGAGCAAGTCTAGCAAAAAGACCCACGTCATTTTTGCATACACCTTCACGATATTTGGAAATACAAAAATAATTTTACCACAGTACTGTTTCAATGTATCGAAAATATGTGCGACTGTTATGTCTAATAGTTGAGTAAAATATTAATAATAAGTAATATTTTCAACCTCTCAAAAGAATCTAAAAATTTGGCGGTAGTCTCTGAAAAGTCGATAAACGGAGTTTGGTCGATCTTTTTTTTTTCGTTTTTACTGCCCACGCCCCTCGGCGAGGACGTATTGCAATCGCGAAAATTTTCGGATATGAAACATGTTTTTTGAACGTTATATGACATGTAGGTATATCGCGAAAAACCACGTCACTAATTCGGTCTGTCTGTCGGCCTGTCCGCTCGGTTACTACGATGCCAAGGACGCAAAAGCTTTGTGGAAAAATGTACAAAACTTTTTGACGTTTTAGAGGATCATTTTTCAAAAAAAAATGGAGACAAAAATCTTGGGAGTATGGGATGTAAGGGAGTGGGGAGGGTTTACCTGAAATTTTTGATGCTGGTACATTTATACGCTACCAACATTGGTAATTCTACGGACCTATTAGACATATTCCACACATAATATTTTAATTTTCGAATTTTTTGGCGATTACAATACTTTCACGCCACTCGCGCTGGGAGTAAAGGCTGTAGTGACAGTCGAAGCTTCAGCAAAAAAAGTCTACGAGCGATTTCATTGTGTCACTTTTTCCATGAAAATGAAATTTCCTTGTACGTGGAACATTTTCGGGCAATTTCCTTTAACAAATATTCGGATATCTGGTAAATAAAACTAAACGACCTACTCAGTTGGGGATCGTCTCTGTTAATTCTCGTTCCGCTAGTAAAAGTCCATAATATATTGATGACAGAAGGAGCTAGCAATTTTCCAATTTGCACGTCGTGACTATTCTCACGAATATAATCCAGAATCCCCTCTACTTCTTCTTTGATCATCGATTCCATAGTGTTCCTACCGAAGCCCAATTCTTTCAGATGGGTAGTTACGAAACTCCTTTGAGCCTTCCATAGTGGACCGTCGGTACACGTCACACCTAGAATATGCGAAAAGAAGTAACATATTCTCAGAGACAAAGAAAATAACTCAATAAAGTGATTATTTAATTTTGAAGTGGAAACATTTCCCATACACATCCGTCCAGTCGTCGGGGCATATTGTTGATGAGGTGATTTATGTCTTTTTCAGATATTTCGTCCCAAGCTTGCTGTACCTCGTTTCGAAAAACTGATGCTAACATTGGTGGAGAATGAGGTAAAGGGGTCACCTTTTCTCCCACCGTATCCCACATATGTTCAATGGGCGAGATGTCTCGAGGCTTAGGAGCTCAAAGAATGAGGTTCATTTGAACGTTATTGAGGTAGTTTATTCTAGCTCTAGCAATATTTGGACGGGGGAAATGAATGGCAACAAGTGAGGTTCCAGATTTTCTAGATAAACCGTTGCGCTATCGGACCTCTTTTAATGAAAACCTCTCAAAAGCTCTTGTCTCTATTAATGTTCTTATTAATAAGTTGCACACCAAACGGACGAGGGATGGCATTGTTAGAGATAGTGTTATCAAAATTACCACAAGGACCCTACCTGTGCAATCTACTCGTTGCTGATCTTGCCAGTAGAAAACATTGCAGGATGAACAATACCCAGATAATTTGTGAATTCTAAACGTATCGGTCTCATTAAATAAAGAATTCTTAAAGTTAATCGAGCAGCTTACGCTCGGTCTCTAATCGTTGGCTTCAGCTCGAATGTTTCTATAGAAGTGGTGAAAATAAAAATAATTCAAGAATGCGTCTACCTGGTACTAACATACATACTTACTACTGTTTTACCACGCATAAGTAAAAGTGACATTCTGAAATTAGACAAATGCCTTAAAAAGATATATAAAAGACTTGGGCACTTGCACTAGTGCATCCCAGATGACATACTTTAGGAGATGCTACAAAAGGTCAGACGCAAAAGAAATTTCTTAAAAACACTGAGGAACACAAATCGGTGATGCCGATTTTGACCAAAATAGATAGTCCAAACAGCCAGCCAAGCCAGCTATCTTAAATCTAGCCTTCAAAATTCAAACGTCCTGTGCCCCCTCTCCTCGTATTTCACCCCTTTCCTAGGAAGTAAATATTTTGAATGTATACAAAAGCAATATATTTTGGTTTTTTATTGTTTATAAACGAGACCTGTCTCAGTGAAGTTAGCCCAACGCCCCAAAACATATTTGTGAATTTATTTGAGGGATACCTAATTAAAATTTTATTTCAAATACACTTATCCGACAAATTTTAACCACATATACACTGTTATGGAAGAATTTGATTTCTCAAAAGAAATATGTAACAAAAGTTCTACAGAAATTAAGTTATAAGCCTGAGTTTCAATAATAAATTGAAAAATGAATATCAGTATTTTGCGTTCATCGTTGGGATATTAGAACACGCATTAATAATTTATTTGTACCAAATGTTGTATCAAACAACTGACGAAAACAAAATACCAGGAATTTTTTGTTTTTTCATATTGATAAGAACGTGTACCTAAATAAGGTTTAATCTGTATCGTGGGTGATCTGAATAAAGAACGGTCGATTACCATGAAGTTAAATAAGAAAGTATTTTGCGAGTTTATGCTTTTAGTTATTTATTAATAAAAATGGCACCTGTGACACTTATGAGGAGTTAGTGGACATTGTTTTAGCGTACGGAGAAACAGGGCAAAATTCGCAAGCGGCTCTAGTTTGTATGCACACCCATTTCCGAAGAGGCACATACCACACTTCCAACATTGTTTTTCTTTAAACGTGTGTGCAGGTATTTTCGATGAACGTCTAGTCTAATTGGACCGCTCAAATTGCCAGATCGGATGGATGCTCACCAGTATTTGGAATTTCTTCGGAATTATTAGCCGTTCCTTCTTGAAGATGTGTCATTGGGGGTCCGAGTACGGATGTGGTTTCTGCACGATGGGGCACTTCCGCGTTTTCGTTTAGAAGTTGATTTTTTGAATCAGGTATACCAGATACGCTGGATCGGAAGGGGTGGATCAATTGCATGGCCTCCACGGTCTCCTGATCTAAATCCTCTGGACTTCTTTTATGGGAGTACATGAAAAACGAGGTATACCGTACTCGATTTCAGAAGTGCGTGACCGAATCATAGTGGCCGATAATTTGAGCCTTCAGGCGCAGCAGGAAAAAGGTGTATTTGAATTAGTGCGCCGAAATTGGATTAAACGCGCCCAAGCTTGTATTGCAGTCAATGGAAACAATTTTGAACAGCTTTTATAAGTAAGTGAACTGTTAAACTGTATTATTTTATTATCTCGATTTCTGTAGGTCTTTTATTACATTTTTTTTGAGAAATCAACTTCCTTCCTATCAGTGCATACGTGGTTAAAATTTGTCGGATAAATTGTTAAACACCGTTTTTAAATGTTTATGGAAATAACGAAACCGCGGCTATTTTAAGGCATTTTTATTTCGAAATTTTCTTCTTTGCAAAATGATTTGTGCATAGCAAAATACAAGATGGAGACAACTTAAGTTAAATGGTCTGTTTATTCGCTTAGATAAAATAAAGGTAGGCTTCGTAAAACAAATGATAGCATTTTACGTTGCGAAGAAGCTGATTTTTGCGTTTAAATCAACTTTCAATGCATTGGTGCTGTTGTTAACAATTAAAAATGGCTCGTGGTAAAGCTGTTTCTGACGAAATAAGAAAAGTGATCATTCACTTGCATTTAAAAGGCCAAAATGCTTCCCAAATCGCTGACCCTGTTAACAAATCGAGGAATACAGTTCGGAATACTATTAAATTGTACAAAACAGGGGGATCTCTGGCTTAAAGACCCATAACTAGGAGTTGCCCGCATTATTCCAATACCAACTTAAGAGCCTTAAAGCGGATTATCAAGAAAAATCGGCGTGCTAATTATAACGAATTCAAGATATTATGGAATCAGGCAACCACGAAAAAGTTTTCAAGAGCAATTTGTAACAGGACTGCCTAAAAACAGGGATTTAAAACATACATGGTAGACTTAAATTATTGTGATATTACTCGTTTTTAATTCAGTATTTCAGAATGACTGTCTTAAAAAAAAGTTTCCGGCTTTTGTTATGATTTGCAGATCCATGTCAGCAAATTGAACAAATCTGAATGTATCTTCCATCAAGATGGTTCCGCTTGCCATACGGCTAAAAAAGGTAAAGATTGGATGTTAGAAAAGAATATTTCACTTTTAAAATGAACGTCGAGTAGTTCAGATCTATCGCCGATTGAAACCTTGTGGTTATCATGAAGAAAAAGCTCCGATCGAATCCCGCAAGAACCGTTTCAGACTTGTGAACCCTTCTCCAAGAAATTTGGAACAGTTTTAGACCCGATGACTGCCAAACATTAGTTGACATTTTGTCAAGACGTATCAAAGCAGTAATCAGACGAAAAGGCGATGTAAGGCGGTGGTGATTTGCTCGTTAATTTTTATTAATCGTCAGTTCTTTTGAATTCGTAAGATATTTTTTCTTTGTTACAAAAAATGTATTTTTGCTGATATTAAATAAAAATATCGTATGTTATAAGATACATTTTAGTTTTTAATACGTTAATATGACAAATTTCATAAAAAAACTTAGTTTTGATAGTTGGGCCAATTCCACTGAGACAGGGCTCGTATGAGCGAAAGGCATATTTCACATAATCTATATAAAATAAAGGTTTCAAATTGATTGATTAATGAAAACTAGAAGTGACTAGCACAATATTCAACGGTACCGTAACACTTACAGTGTGGTGCTCGTGTCGTTCAACTGAAAACTTTACATTACGTTTTTCTCCGATACGCTCTTTGATCTATGTCTATCCATCATTCATCTCCACTGAATCAAGATTGATTACTAAAAACAATGTTTTCAGTTCTGTTTTAGAGATGCATTTGGATGGGCATAATAATTCTCTCTAAAAAAGATATGATGTAAAGCTCTTTGATTTGAATGTCGCCATACCGTAGGAGCCATGGTCTGAGGCGCCATGACGTGTTAAGTCAGCTCCAATTTCCATTATAGGAAGCGTGACGGAGCAACGGTATATTCAGAAAATACTAGAACTTCATCTTTTACAATTAATCCAACTGCTTGAGAACTCTTTTTGCAACAAGATAATGGCCGCCCCCATCTTGCTAGAGCTACAGTAGAAAACCTCAGTAACGGTCAAAACAATCACCTTCCTTTGTCATCTAAGTCTTCAGACCACTCGGCGATAGAACCTTCGTGAGGCATGGTGGAAAAAGCTCTTTTGAATCAAGTTCAGCTAGCTATGGATGATATACCTCAAGAAGACAAAAATCACCATCAAAAGCATGTCCTGTGGTACGTATACGGCATTCAGGTAGCTCAACATATTATTAGCAAAACCTGGCGATATAGTAAGTGTTTCAACATTTTATCACCACATTCTCTTGCGTATGTCTGCTCCCAGTGTGTTCCTTAATAATATGCGAATATTTAAGGGTGTGAATCTACATGAAAAAATAATGTTAGTTTGCTTCAAAAACTATGGTTCAAAAAGGGCAAACTCAATAAAATTCAGCGTTTGGCCTGTAAGTACTGCCTGTACTCTTAAAATATGGTATGGATATAACAAAAAATCCACTAAAATTCTCCAAACAATTTGATGGCAAATATTTAAGTGACTAGCGATCTTCCTCGTACTCGTTTCATGATGTTCTTCGACTTCGTGCAGCACTGCCTCCTCAATTTCAGGTGTTCTCACACTTAGAGGTCTACCTTCAGATATTCCTTTTCGGGCAGAACCAGTTTCAACAAGACGACGATGAATATTAGAAAAGATTCGACTATCTGGCAAAGCATGAACGAGATATCTCTGGTGATAAATCCGTCTGGCTTGCTCACCATTACCGAGGGCAAGGCCATATATGTTCGTAATGCATTTCCACCATTCCTGCATTCAAATAATTGACCATTATTAACAAGATTGTAAAAACTAAATAATGAAAAAGATGTCACAGCGAACCGATCTGAATAACGGAGACTTGTCAGATGTCAAAAGCCAGTGACATATTCCAGAGCAACTAGATATTCATTGCTAAATTGCATTCTTCAATTATTACATTAATTTTCCGGACAATAGAACGGTTTTTATTTTTTTACTCAAAAAAGGTGCATCGAAGGAAAACAATTCATTTGTTTTAAATTGAACGAATAATTTAAAAATAATTTTTGTTTTGCAAAAAACTATTGGCGTACCATTTTTTTCTTAAAAAATATCGAAGTCAATACCCATTTGCACGCCACTGTTAAAGCTAAAAATTATTTTTGCATTTTTTCCTAAAACTTCAACACCCCGAGTTTTTGTAAGGAAACATTTTTGGACCATAGTTTATAAACCAAGTAACATTAATTTTTCATGTAGATTCACACCCTTAAATATTCGCATATCCTTAAGGAACACCCTGTATAAAATTTCAGTCAAATAGAATCAATTTACTCGTTCTATTTTTTTTTGTCAATGTGTATGGATATTGAAAGAAGTGTGTTTGCTATTAAGCGTTAATCATTTATTGGAATTAGACTTGTTTATGCGAAATGATAAAATTCTGAGAAAGGTCAGCCCGTCATTCAGCAGAAATTCGAAGTATTCTCAAGGCTACCAGCAGCAGCATATTTGAAAATGTTGCATGCATAGACACAGGCTGAATTAAAACTGTTTGCTTTCAATCTCCCTACCCAGATATACACCGTCTTGATGATTCCTGGCAAGCATGAAACATGGTTGTCTACGATCGGGCATGGTTAAGGGAACATAAAACAGATTCAGTTTATGGTGTATTGAGCTCAAAATAGGTCATATTGAAAAATAAATACATTTTTTTATAAAAATTTTGTGTTTTCTTCGTTGGGTCGGGTACTTCTGGGATCACCCTCGTAGCCTGGGACTATGGAACTAGTAAACTTCACTAACTTCTGCATATTTTCAAAGTAAAACGTACTTTACTTTTTATTTATTATTATTAGAGTTATAGATTTTCACCTAGGATATTCAACCTAGATAAATATGTTCCCAAAAAGGATATATCTAACACTTTGCATTCAAAAACGTAATGTAATTCTTACCCCTTCTGGCTCCGAAGCATCTAAGTTTTATGAAAAAATTGTCCGGCCGGCCGTCAAATTCTTCGCTAAGCAGCACCTGTTTCACCACTTCGTATGAAAATACTGTGACCACGTAATCACCACCCATTTTCAGCCCTAATACATTTGTATTGTACTGCTTGGCTAATTTCCATAATGCGACATATTGGCCTCCAAATTTTTTTGCCAATTTTCTGAGTTCTGGAAGGTTGCCTACAACTGGAGTCCATGGTGGTCCTGGAAATTTAAACTGATTAATTGATGTCACTACCGATTGGACAGCTGAAAAAATAAGAGGTCGGCTGAAGAGGATCGGTTGGCTTCCCGTTCCTGTGACCATAGCCAATCGTATGCAACGTGGTTTCATGCTTTTTAGCAATCATCAGTACGGTATAGGTCAAGCCGTTTGACGACAGATGGCGGAAAACAATCAAGCGAATATGGGTGTACTGAAAAAAAATATTGTGGTGTGCAAAAAATAAACACTCAATTAAACAGTTCTGAAAAAATTTCATTGCCGTGATAATTTTTCAACTATCCTAAGTAACAAAATGATAATTAAACTGAATTTTCTGGAACCACTTTAATAGAAAGTAATATACTGTTAAACTAAGTTGCTTGAAAATAGCAAACCACGTACCTGTTTTATTAAGCCGCTTAATTAGTTTAGATAATTTATTTTATGTAGAAAGGTACATTCAAAACAATAACATTCTAATAATAACAGTTGAACAGACGCATTGCCGGTAACGCGTTTCGAACTCTTCAATTGTGATCTTCGTGAGGAGCTTCATATTCAAATGTTGTCACTGTTGTTGTAGTAGCTCTGAAGTGAATCAATTATGGTGATCAAGTGAAATACTCGAGCATAAGGCGCCTAGTACCGCATGACCATGGTTATAGAATATGTATCACTCCCAATGAAGCACTATGTATAAGGGAATCACTGCTAACGTGACGGAATTAGAAGAGTTTTTAAATTTATTAAAGCAGTCATATTTAGGTCAATGAAGGGAATTTATACCAAAAATATGCTTAACATAGGCATGATGTGCTTTTCCTTTATGTTGTATAATATACTCGTATAATGTATAGGTGCAGACTTTGTAGTATTTGAAAATATCCTAATATGTTGAAAGTGATTTGGAATTTATTTATATTATGTAGATGGATGCGGGTAAGTGCAATATTGTTTCATTATTAAAAATAAAAGTACAATTATCCCTTTCCTTACTTTTTGAATTTTCAACAAAGAATTGTGATACCGTTTTTGAGATATCGAATATTTTCTTAAATTTAAAAAAAACGAACCTTTTTATCTGTGGTCTTTAGCTGCACTTACAAATAATGTTATACTTTGTTCATTTTTTCTATAAAATACTTCTAGATGGTTGCTTTATCGTATACAAATGCAATGTAGTTAAAAGATATTAAGGAATCATGATAAAATAAGAACATGCAGCTAAAGACAACAGATGAAAAGGTTCGTTTTTTAAGAATTTAAAAAATTCAATATCTCAAAAACGGTGACACTTCTATATAGGTAAGTTTTTGTTATTTGGGAGGTCAGTCAAAGCCTACCTTCTCCTTAAGTTTGTCGTGGTTCTCATTTTACACCCTGTATAACAACTTTACAATAAATGTAAATAAAAAATATTGACTTTTGTTAGGGTTATAAAATTCGGAAGTTATTTTGATTCGAAAACATCAACTATTATTATCAAGTTTTCCAATTTTTTTGACATCTAAGATTTGTCAGAACCTATAATATACATCATACAGTAAAATGCAATTAATTTTTTAAATACCAAATAATATTCAAATATCCTTTTCAGTCTACATAGAAGCTAGCAAATATTTTTACCTAAACTAACAAATTCAGTTAATGTAATTAAATTTTTTTACTTGGAGCAGGTAAACTCTTTAAATACTTCATTAATTTTAAATAAATTGGTGTACTCAATCTATATAAACGGTTCAATTAACTTAAATAAATGATGAACGATTTGGTTTATTTGAACTAGTTTCATAGATTCAAGCAAACTATTTAAGAAATCGGAGTTTGATTACACTAACTAGAATTGCTAGCTCTGTCACATAGTTAATTGAATTTTTTAATTAGCCTGATTGAAATTTTAATTTATCTGTTCACCGACCCCCTACTTATGGTAGTTTACTGGGACTTGTGAGTCCGGTCCTAAGGAATCGACCTCAAAAGCGTTTCATTGTCACTCAGTGGAATAGTAAGTAGGGTAAAGTCGGATAAAGCGTACCGACGGGTAAATCTTACCACCACCATTTCTCAAATAATGATCTGCTACCCGTGACACCTCTTGTCAAAATTTAGAAGCTTTTATGATTATATTTGCCCCACCCAAATTATTTTTTGCAGTTCACTTCACACTGTAAGTCAGTTTGAGGTTAAATTAAAAGCAGTGTTGGTCATGTTATTTTTAGATCCTATTCGTAAGCTTTTTTTACATTTGATATATACAGGGTGTCCCGAAAAAGTGTGCAATATTCTACCAGCGGTTTCTAGAGCTTAAAATAGGAAGAAAAGTTTATATAAACATAGGTCGACAAACGTCCCGTAAGGGCGCTACGGTCACTGCTAACAATGTCAGCTTAACGTCAGAATAAGTCATAACAAATCAAAACAACTTTTGTTTGCAGTCATGGCGAACTACTCGTATGTATAATCAACAATTCATTTAAATTCGCAGTACATTTCCGATCATGTGACAAATTTTTCTCTTTGATTTTATTCAAAAATTGCACAATTTATCGATATTCAATAGGAGTACCTTTTTTATGTAGAAAACCCTAAATTTTCCAATTCTAAAATTGAATTTGAAAAATGGAATCACACAAAAATTTTGGGACTAAAATAACCTGAGTCCGTCCCTGTTACATACGCTTCCAAACAAAACTGTCTAAAATTATTAATATTTTTAAATCCAGCATAAAAAACTAGACTAGAATACCAAATTTTATGTCTTTATCTCAACACGTTTCGGAAATATTAAGGAAGAAACATCTTCAGGGGAGCCCATTTAAAAGACCGTAGCGCCCTTAGGGGACGTTTGTCGACCAATGTTTATATAAATTTTTTTTCCTATTTTAAGCTCTAGAAACCGCTAGTAGAATATTGCACACTTTTTTCGGGACACCCTGTATATATTTTTTACGTATTTTATGGACATGTAGTTAGTCGATACTGTAATAATTAACTGAAAAAGGATATATATATAGATTGAAATTTAAGTGATAAACATAAATTCGTGCTTGTTCTGTATATCGTACCACCCACGGTTTTGTAAATCGTACCGGTACGATTTACCCAACTGAGGCTCTTTGCTTCGATCGTAGGTAAGTCTATGACAAATGAGTTCGAATAAATTAATTTTTAGAATTCCTACAGATAGAACTGCATAGGTAGATCAGTTGAAATGTGCTGTAAACGCATTTTTTATACAATGCCCATATTATGCATATTTGAACGTTGATATGATTACATTCGTTTGTCGTCAAACGAAAGATTAAATTTAATATCAAGAAATACCATTATAAACGATTTCAAATTCCCGCAAGATGTGAACTGAATATAAAACAATGTTTTCTTTTTTAAAATTGTTATTTTTATACGTTATTCGATGTCATGTTACTAACATATAAAGTTGTTTCTGAAATAAAACCCCATAGTATGTTATATTAATCTTCTTCTTTTGAATTGGTTTATCGAAATATGCAATAAAATTTGAGGCGTTTCATTTGAAAAACCACAACTTTGATATGTTGGTCGAAATTGCGACACTCTGTATAATGGCCAAGATTTTAGAAATATGCCCTCAAATGTCATGTATAACATCCCATAGATAGATTTTCCCAATGAGTAATATTCCGTCCACCCATAAATGGGCCACCCTGTACATACAAACATACATACACATTTTCACATTAATATTAGTAGGGACAACATGCACATGAATACATAATCGGTATACCCCATTGTTGGTAACCTAATAAGAGTCATCTGAGTACTTAGAACATGTGCGTTACAAAGCAGTACCGGCTTGCTACTATTACTATTCGTCACTATTCGTCAGAGCGGTCCGGTGGACCTTTGCTCTTAGTTAAAAGTCTCGTCGATCTGATAGTCTGTCAGGTCTGGCTACCCAGATACCAAACATGTTTAAGGGGAAAAGGGAAAGAAGGAAAGAAAGGAAGGAAGAAATAGAGCAAAGAAAAGAAGTAAATCATTTGAAATAGCTTAAGCATTATTGCTTTGACTACTCGAATTATTTTGTAACTTCAAAAAATAACTTCGATCGGTTTTTTATACTGAAATAATTTTGACTGGTATGAATTTACAATTTAATTTTGATCACAGTGCGAGGCGCGGCCTAGAATGTTTGCGAACTTGCTCGACTGTGTAGTCACTGAATCACGCAACAGAGGGTTGTTGTGCGATTCCGCTTGATTATAACGCCGCTGCGCCTGTTGTTTTACGTAATCCCTTAGATATGGGATATCAAGATCGCTGTGAATGGTCTCATTTGACACGCACAAAAGGGCGTTAGTAATTGTACGTAGGGTTCTGTTTTGCAGGACTTGCAGTCTCTGCATGTGCGTCTTGGCAAGAAAACACCAAGCCGAGCATGTGTAGGTGTCTTATAACCATTTTATACAACCGAATCTTGTTGATCAAACTTAATTTTGAATTTCTGCACAACAAAGGATAAAGCTGCCGAAAGCTAATTTGGAATTTTGTGTTCAAAATATCACTATGTTTCTGCCAGGTCAACCCCTTGTCAATGATGACTCCAAGATACCTGACAGATTGCTCCCATGGTATACAAGTTCCATTCACTGATACCTCTGAGGGGGCACCACGACCTTTTTTATAGTACAATAGATTGCCTGCGTTGTCGAAGTACCAATTTTGATCAACCACCGATCCGTCCACTCCAATACTTTCTCGACCGCACTCTGCAGCCTGACGTGAACCAGGTTACCAGAACAAGACTGGGCAAGCAATGCAGTGTCGTCAGCATAGAGATAGACTTTACAGTTGCTGGGGCAAGGGACGTCATGTATATAAAGTGAATAAAGGATTGGTCCTAAGACCGAACTCTGAGGAACACCGGCTCTTACGGGGTGTTGTTGACAACACATTGTTAATTTTGATCCGAAACTTCCTTCCTTCTAGAAAAGATTTCAACAGTTTCAGTAGCCAA